AAAAAAAAGAAAGATGACGAAAAAAATTGATCTTCTCTAAAACAAATTTGAGTAAACAAATTCGAGAAAAAAAACTCTGTTTTAGTAAAGGTTGACAAAGAATCATTTTCCAAATACTCTTTTATGTGTTGGAGTCTTTGAGTGTTATTCATGCTCTTAAAGTAGTCACCTCACACCACAACATCTAGTTTTTCAGAAACTTGATCACTTTTTGAAAAATAATGTTGCTGGAACTTAACGTGTTTACTTGGAAAATTAATTTATGAGTAATACTAAAACTAGATTATATTGTTTACTTTGACCTTGTGATTCGCTATTTGGTTTGATTTGGAGTTTTGTTTTGAGTGCTCACAGGTTGATAAGAGTACAATATGGATTCTCCATATTGTCCCGAGCAATAGAAAAAATCTAGCCAAAGACACTAAAGGAGGGTAGCTTACTAGGAGGCAACCCAGATATTTGAACTTTTATTTTTATGCATTTTCTTACTTTTTTCTTTTCTTTTATTCTCGTCTTTACTTACAATTTATCTGTCTTGTGTCCTTAATTGTCATATCTTATGATCTTCCCCTATCATTCTTGCATCTGTTTTATGATTCTACATGTTCCATGTTTTTAAGTGTTTCATCTTGTATGCGCATAAGTTCATCATTTTTATATTATTTACATGCATTGAGGACACTGCATGATTTAAGTGTGGGGGGACGCTTCTGCATTTAGTTATGCATATTTTAGGAAAAACATTTTGTTTGCATGTTTTTATACACATACTAGGAGCATGAAGTGGGTAGGAAAAAAATTCATTTCAAACAAGTCAAGTGGAGTTATTGCTTTCAAAACTTGAAAATCCGAGAACCGTCTTGTCTCTACAAAATTTTGAAATGTTGACTTGTTCCTCAATAGCTTTTGCTCCAGCACTCCTCATCCACTTGTGAAAGTTTTTGAGTTGATTTAATTCATACTTGAGATCTGATTGTTGCCCTTCTAAGTCTTCAATCTTCTTTTCTAGTTCTGAAATACTCTCCTTTAGTCTATTGCGCTCGACAACAAGCTGATGGTTCTCCAGGACAGTTTTCTGGTTGGCTTGAACAAGTTCTACCCATTTCCTTTGGAGAATAGCTAGCTCTTCTGCTATGTCAAACTCTATGTCATCTTATGTATCATCCTCTGTGTCATCCTCTGTTGTAACTTTACCTTTGTATCTCTGTAACTCTTTGATGAGTTGTTCCACATCGCGTTTTGATTCAGCAAGTTCACGTTTGAGGCTATCATTTTCCAAACATTTTTTCTTGTTGACACGTAGAGACTCTTGAAATGTTTCTTCAACAATTATAAGCATCTCCCTTGGATCTACGTCACTATCAGAGTCACCGTCAACACTATGGAAAGTTGGAAAAGCACAACATGTTCCAGCACTGTCTTTAACACACTGCTTCTTTTTTTCAACGAGGATGACATGCTGTTTTTTACGTCGTAGGGGCGCAACGGATAACACCAAACACAAGCTGTGCAAACAAAACAATCTAACTATGTTGTAGAGAAGATGCTGCAGCACTGTCACAGTAACAGATGACTGATAGAGTACTATAACACCTTCTCTGTCACAAACATACACGTAGAATATAAAGTAAAAACAGTAAGCAAGACATCATAATTGTTCACGCAGTTCGGAGCAAATTCTCCTACGTCTGCAAGGCTTACGTCCGTGTAATAGCCCTTCCACTAAATCACCGTAAGAATTACACAATCAATCACAACAGAACCTTCTAATGTATTGATTTGTCTACTTACGAATGACTTGACGACAAACTCAGTTTGCATCTATCTCCACGGCTTGTTACACCTTCTCAAAGATCTTCTTCAAGGACGTAGATTCCAACAATACACCTTCAAATAAAGATTCTCCTTAATCTACAAAAATATGCAGGCTGTTCCGAAGCTCATAAATCGAGATTGAATCGTTGAAATTTGATCTCCACCGTTCAGATTGAAGTTCCACGAGTCCTTAGACTCCTCCTAAAATTTCAGCACGATCAGACAAGATTTGGTACTCCGATCATCGACAAAACCAGAGTTGTGCTCTGTGCAAAAAATTAGCGGCAATATGCAGATTGTAACTTCGATAACAGAAGATCCGTAACTCCGATTGACGTGAAATGTGAACACGTTGAAGCCCTATGTGTTGGGAACATCCTCTGAAAGTTTCAGCAAAATCCAACGGTCGGATCTCCGGAGATGATCAAAACCGTGCAGGCTGTCCAGAATATTTGCCCTATCAAACTCTGCACCTTGTTTTTCTTTTTTCGGATTTTCTTTTGTTTCGTATTTTCCCCCCCAAAACTCTAAGGGATGGAGAAGATATAATATGGAGTATATTAACCTTGTTAGAGTGTGCTTAGGAGTCTCAACCATGCCTTCCTCCTCAAAAAAAGTAAACCATGTAAGATTAGAATTCAAGTAGGATTAGAATTCTCACTTCAAACTCTTTCCTCTTTCTCTTCCTTCACATGCTAGGACTCTAAGTCTAAATAAAACTCCTAAAATAATTCTAGGTAAATATATTCATTTGTCAAAAAATAATGCCAACACAATTTGGAACTAACAATTAGACAATGAGAAAAAATAATCTTGCCCTAAATAGCTTTAAATAAGATAATAACCAAATTCAGAGGAAAAAACAAACAACTCACAATTCAATCCTAACGTGTCCTCGAGTGAGATGATATTCTTTCACTTGTCGTGTGTATGCGAGTACACTCTCCAACCACTTATTTATTCTTCTAAAATAACCTTTCTCTTCTCTTTAGCAGCACATCAAAAGTGATAGTACTCAGCGTCTCATTATTATTCATGATATGATGATAGCATTTTTTTTCTAGCACAGCATAAAAAACTGATAAAAC